GAGCATGAAAGAAATGAAGGCTTTTTTTGTATTTGGACACCGAGCAGTTGGACTAAATCCACATTGAGGCAGGGTTTGTAATCCTAGAGACAGAGCAGAACCGGAGGTTTTAGGGGTTCTAATTGGACACTCAGAAGGGGCAATGGGGACCTGACCACTAATTAGCTAAGCACCATGAACTTGAGCTGTGTACAGAAGGTCCCGGGAGCCAAATTTGGTATGAAAAGGAACGGACTCATTTGGCAGATTAACTTCTCTCTGAAAGGAGTATGGGATGACACAACAAACATTTCAGTAGCAGCCAAGATGAACTACGGAGGGCGGGCTGTTCCCTCTTAATCCTGGCTCCAGCCACCCCTAGTTTTTACTCTATAATCCCAAAGAGAGGGAATGGGCAACTCTCAAATGACTGACATGGATTTTTCAGCCATATGGTGGTGAAGGGAAAGACAGTTTTACTTTTGACTATAAAGCATATCAGTTCAGTTCAGTTACTGCTCCTGAGTATTAGGGAGAACACTTTTATCTCCAGTTTACCAGTACATATAATACGTACACATTTTAACATAGCTGTATGTGAATAAAAACTTTGTTTTTTTTCACATGTTAGTTCTACTGCACTATTTTAGTTTCTCCTGCTGTTATCAAAATTAAGCATTCATTATTCATGTAAGATATGAATACAGAGGAAAATGAAAGTAAAATGAGAGGGAAAATACTAGAATAAGTTGATCATACATATTTAAATAACCACAAATAAATAGCTATTCTCAAATACGCCTAAGAAACTACATGAAGGAATAAATTTTATTCCACCCATTCTTTACATTTGTATCTCATTATAGGATCAGCATTAAATATTTTCTGTTTTTCTCCCATTGTTTTGTTAGGTTTACTGAACCATAAAGAAAGGAAGAAGAAACCTGGCTCATTGTTACAAAATATTCCTGGTCTTGGTTTCAAAGTCTTCTGGGTTTTTTTATTTATTTTTTATTTAAACTCACATTCATGATGCCACATATACTCATAAGGAAATGTTGCAAAAGTGAAAATGCTTATTTAAAGCTACACCATACCAAGTTCAAGGAAGAAGGGAGCCTCCCATCTGTGACATCACCTGGATCGGTCTGGAGAGTATGACCAATATGGAAAGCAGGCTACTGACTCCTGCAGCCCAATGCGAGTGCCTCATAGATTGAGCAAAATCATTTTTCTGTTCATCACAATTACTAAATATTTTCCAGAAACATCACACCCCATGCCTTTCTTTTCTCTTCCCCTTTAAAACCTTCAGCATTTCCTGGTTAGTGTTTACCAATGAGTTGATGAAAGAAAGCAAATATGAAACTCAAATTGGGCCTTGATTTATTTAGAAATGATCAGGTTTTAGTTCTTCCTGCCTGGCTTAGTGTCTTTGCAATGATTTTTTGTTTCAATTTATTATTATAGAGTGTATTATTTGTCCAGTTATCTACCATTTATTCCTATACAAAAATGCAATATTTATCATGATATTGGTGTGATAGTTAATTTAGCTGGCTTGAGTATTCAAACCCTGCATATTCCAAAGGAAGGGCTGGCCCTTGACTGGGTTTGGAAGATAACCCTACCCTTGGAATGTCTTGCCTAGTAACAGTGCGCTTGATCCCTGACAGCCTGAGCTGTGCCAAATAGTTTAGGACAGTGGAAGCTTGTTTTTTAAACCTGGGGCTTTGCACCATGCTGTATCAGTTTGAATGCTGCAGTAGTTGAAGCTGGATTAGCTAAAGCCTGTGCCCTGTGAATGACTGGAATAAAAAACCTGAACATCAAGGCTTCAGTGGCAACACTTCAGTAGAGTTGTCACACATCACTTCTGAGAGAATTAAGTGCTGTACACACATCTCCACTAGGAGACACCAGAAAGCCTGTGCCTGGTTTCTCCATGGCTTTGCCATTTGTGCCTTTTGCTACTTTTTTTTTTTAGGGTGGGGGTGGAGAATGTACCTTTTGCTACTTTTAATCTATAACTTCTCACTGTAATAAACCCTAACCATGAGTATCCTGACTCCTAGTGAATCATCAAATCTGGGCGTAATAATGTTGGAGTCTCAGATATAATATCTAAATGCTATCAAATGCTTTGAACATTTTTTAATTTTTATTTTTTATTTATTTTTTAAAAAACATATCTTTATTGATTTCAGAGAGAGGAAAGGAGAGGGAGAGAGAGACAGAAACATCAATGATGAGAGAGTCACTGATCGGACACCTCCTGCACGCCCCTGACTGGGGATCACCTGGATCCTAGGCCGAGGCTCAACTGCCCAGCCATGCACATCCGGGCTATTTTTTAATTTTTAAACAATCTGTTGTTTCTGTAACATCTTCTCTTGGAAGAAGATCATCAAATCAGTGATATTTCATTTTGTAATTGATATATGAATTATAGTTACAGTTAGGTAATTTCAATGATGTCCTTGTATATTATATTTAAATCATTAATAAAATATGATAATCTAGTTAGTAAACATTATTTAGAGAATTTTATTTCCTTTTCAAACCTGCTGCTTTCTGCTTTGTTTCTTTTTTCTTTCTCCCTCAGCTTTATGGAGGTACAATTGAAAAAGTGTACAAAGTGATGATTTCATATATGTATACCTTGTGAAACGATTTCCATTAAATAATGAATAATTGATAAGGTTAACTAATACACTCATCACGTCACATAATTACCTTTTTGTGTGTGTCAGGAGAATCATTAAAATCTACTCTCTTAGCAAATTTCAAGTATACAATAGACTACTATTAAGTATAGTTACTATATTGTATATTAGATTCCCAGAACTTATTCATCTTATAACTGAAGACTTGTATCCTTTGACCAGCATTTCCCTATTTTCTCCAAACCCAGCTGCTGGTAACTGCTATTCTACACTCTGTTTCTATGAGTTCTACCTTTTTAAAATTCTTATTATACAATTTTTTTCATTCTTATTATACAATTTCTGAAAGTATGAAGCAAGATTGGAAACCAATAGTAATCTAAATTTAGTCTGAATAACTTCTCACTGGCAATTTATAAAATGGATAAATGAGAGAATACTATACTTGGAAGCTTTCTTATTTGATATAATGCAGTTTCTCAAGTTGCAGACCCTGACTTTTCAAATGATTGGAATAGTGTCACACAGAGAAGTTACGGCAAAGTCAGGCTAGAAGTTGAATATTATTATTATGGGTATAAAGCTCTTTCTGCTATAATAAACTCCTATTATTGCTGAAGTTATAGCTGAAATCATCGACTAAAATAAAGTTTAATCACATTATGGAAATTAGATGATTTACCTGCAAGTAAAAGGGACTCTAATTCAAGCCATATTTAAAAATAGGCCATGAGTGATCTCACATAATTAGATCTGGAGGTTGGGCAGGCACCTGGGGTGGGGGTGGGTGTGGGGCTTCAATCAGTTCAACAATTGATCAAGAGTCAGCTTTCTTCTACCTCTCAGCTCTGCCACCTTCCGTCACTGATGATTAAGCAGCGCCTCACTCCTGTCCTTGGTGTCTGAAAATGGCAACAGCAATTATATTTATAATTCCAGATGTTAGAAGGTCTCGGAAAGGTCCCTACCTTTTACTTACATCCTATTTACTTTTCCCAGAAAGAACTTCACTGTTATGGCAGCAACCAGCACCGGGTCCCATGCCCATCCCCACAGGAATCCCCGAAAGTGGATGGGATTAGGTGACCGACTTACACAAAGCATCCGGCGTGAATTAAGACAAAGCATCTGGGCCACCACACATACCTCAAGGGTGGTTGGAGAGCTGATGGGCCATCCAGTTGCAGCACACAGCTCCAAACATTAGTTATAATTCTTCATTTAGGTGCCTGCCTTCCTGGTGGGAAAGACACAATTTGCCACAAACGATCTTTTCATTGTAAAAATAAACAACGTAGGGACAGGTACAGTGATGGCCAAAATATGTCCATGAAAACAAGTCTGTTCTTCAGAGCCTTTTTTCTAACCTCAGTTAGTGTAGTCCTATGAAAATCAGCTCCGTGGCTAAAGGGTAAACTGTAAGCCTATCCTCGTATCGCAGCATTGACCTGTGTTGTCTGTCATTTATTTTCTGGAGCCAGTCAGCGAATCCACCTTGAGTAGGTGTTTTTTATGTCAGGCTTTGTGAAAAATGAGGAGCCTGAGGGGAATCCCATTGATTTGCCAACTGTGTCAGTCCGTTTAAGGCAGAATGGCACATGCTTGTGACAAAGGCAGTGACAAATGGGTATGTACTCACGGGACAGCACCAACACAGAAGAATGAAGAAAACCATGGAAGTGCACCACGTGAGATGGAAATCAAAATAAAGTTCACGATTATATATTCCGTGTGGGTATATAACACCTTGAGGTAAGTAGAAGTAGGTACCTATAAGACTAACAGCACTTTCCAGAATAATTTCTGAAGTTTTACATGAATTCAGCATCACCAAGAGTTGTGAAATCAGAGTGAACAACTTGTTTTATGTCATTTACAAAACCTATACATAGTGGTGAACAGAACATTCTTTACCACTATTAAGTGAAAAACTATCGCTTGAGGTTGTTGTTTTGTTGTTGTTGTTAATCCTTCCCTGATGATATTTTCTCTGCTGATTTTTTAAGAGAGAGTGGAAGGGAGGGAGGGAGGAAGGGAGAGAGAAACACCAATGTGAGAGAGACACACCAATGGGCTGCCTCCCACACTCGCCCGAAAGGGGGGGCAGGGAGAACCAGCAACCCAGGCACGTTCCCCTGACCAGGAATCGAACCCGAGACCCTCAGGTGTATGGGCTGATGCTCCAACCACTGAGCCACACCGGCCAGGGGGAGTTTCTGCTTTCTGATCTTAATAAGCACCCATATGCATTTTTATGTACCAACATGCCACATAGGCAAAAGTTAGCTTTATATGTAGGGGTTCCTTTATGCTAGCACACATTAAGATATGTTAATAATATTCATGGATACTAACGAGATGGAGATCTTTGCAGGTAGAGTTGTGCTCACGGGCATTCAGGATGCAGTCATCGATGTCCTGTTCACGTCTCAGGCCCGCGTAGCCAGGGTTGCAGAAGCAGGAGAAGCCATCAACCGCTGAAAACAACAGAAGAGAGAAAAGTCTTACCTTCTTTCCTCATGGCATAGGTAATACTAGTTACTCTAAAGATTTTGCTCATCTAAATACATTTTACTTTTAACCAAAAATTGTGAATTTTTAATATTTAAAACTCTATTACGTAGCTCTCTATGATTTATTAAAAAACACACATTATTGCTCAGTTCTATTTAACTTAAACTTCGATTATTTAAAATAAGAATAATCACAAGTAAGAATAATAATAAACATTTGGTAATAATTTGCAAAGCAAAATTATTCGGTTTCCTTTTTTTTTTTTTTTTTTTTTTTGGTCAATAAACAGTACTTATGGTTAACAGGCTACTGTTGGTATCAATTAACTTTTCCCAGATTGTTTTAGGTTTAATGAACCAGAAGTTAACTGCTTGTTAAAGCTCTTGGTGCGACAAGGTACATAAAAGTTCGCAGGCATCTAAAAGTTGACTTTGAACCACTTAAGCCTTTGTTCAAAAGAGCTTTCACGTTTCATCATAATCTTTTAAAAGTCGAGATCAGAACATGCTCTCTATTTCATCGTTAATGGTGGAAAAAGAACAGCGTCTCAGGCATGGCAAGGAAACAGCGACGTCACGGATTGCAGCTGGAGCGGGCCTGCATTCAGAGCTGCTTCTGCACGTCCCGGGGCCTCTCATTATCCCTGAGACCTACCATGTAATCTGCGCTGACATTCTGGCTCTGTGTGAGCACCTGCTATTACTCTCATTAAATGCTCAGATCCTGGTGGCAAGAGCATTTTTAATGTAATGTCAGGTACTTAGCTGGCTTCTAGGTTGCAGCAGCCATGCTTCTGTGCAGCACGTGTAACCAGGGCCCCCAAGGAGAACAAGCCAGCCCGCGGCCCTCGGAGAGACAAGGGACACGCAAAACACCCAGCTCTTTAGACAGAATTTTACTTCTGTTTTACTTTACTTTTTTCATCCAGCATTCTAGTTTTCAACATCTCTTTTAATATAAATGATTAATTAATATGCGGGAGGAGTTGTACATAAATTAATGAGATACAATTTTATCAGTTGGTGCATCTTTGTATGTTATAAATGGCATTAAGTAGGTCAACAAATTAAAACCAAATATTATACAATATGTAATGAAGACACGGAATCACATCGCTCATTTTAATATTTTTTAAAGGTTTATGACTACAATTTGTTTGGATAGTGATACAAATTGTCAAGTAACAAATAACTGGAGTTGAATGAACTTTCCGTGTAGGTGTAGACGTTCTCTATGTAGATAAACGGTGAATCACTTTAAAAGAAACATGACGACAAAAGATAACTTTGAATTAACAAAGGCTCTGAAAAACAGGTTGGTTTTAAAAAAAAATAAGGCATGTTCTTATTATCAATGAATATGCTTTCTGAATGCTAACATTTTTGGGCTAAGAAGCTAAGAAATAAGCTATATTCCAAAGAAGGTCCTGGGGGATTAATTTGAATACCTTAAATAAGATAAACAAGCAAACCAACAACCACAACTTTGTTTCAAGTTTAAAACAAAAAACTGGGTCTTTCTCACATCTAATTTGTTAATTATGAGCTATGTGATAACTACTCACCATTATATCAGAACTTATTTTTAAAGCATATGGTCTTATTTTGTTGTTATTGTTTATATCAGAAATTACAATCACTGTATTAATATTAGTCTTTGCTTATAAATATCCCACACTACTGCTTCAAATTTAAATTTGCATCAGATAAGCTGTCTATAAATCATTATTATTATACTATTCATTTTATACTTAATTATAGATCAAACATCATACATTAGTTATACTGAATCAAAGTTCCTTTATGATAAAACTGTGTGTTGAAAATATAGAGTTGAGTATTTTGACAATGTGCTGAATAATCACACAGTGAGATTTACAAAGTCACATAGACATATTGTTTCTTATATATAGTCATGTGGTAAATACTATTAACTTCAATTCAGAAAGTTTAGCTTTCCAAACTATTTTATTTTTGAGGAAGTATTAAGAATACAGTACCTTAGATTTATGCTGATATCAGTTTACATGTAACATTTAATATTTAATAAATGTTTTGGTCCTCTAGTAGGTGATTTCCCTGACTGAGTTCCAAAATATATAATGAAAAATCATAGTACAAAATACAGCAATATATCAGGTATCCAAAATTTACATTTTTCATGATATGTCATCTATGACCTTCAAAAATTTAATAGAGAGCATTGTACTATAAGTAGTATATTTGTAAATGGTGTTCTCATATCATATAAAATACTATGAATTATAATATCTATAGGGACCTAATAAAAGTAGAGTTTACAGTTGTATGTTAAACAGTTTATTCTTATATTATTATTTATTAATTATTGTATTATTTTCCATAGGAACAATTGCAAACCTCTCTCTCAGGCATACTTTCTGCCTTCCTTATTTCATAGTGAGCACCAGAAATTTGAGAGCCATTCCCAGCATTACCAAACACCCATGGGTTTAAGCTCAGATAAGATAACTGTGGCTTATTTTAAGGTAATTTGAGAATTTCACAAATTTAAAAACCCAATCATTAAAGTGCTAAATTCGGAGGGGGGGATTGGTTTAAATTAGGAGTGACAAACAGATGGCCCACAGCCTAAAAATAAGTTTTGCTTAGTTAGCACAGTATTAGAAAAATAATCCATATTAATATCTATGTAGAAATTCCAGTTTGCTAGGGCCCCACCCACCACTACCTATTGTTTTATAACTGGGCTGCTTCATCCAATCTAAAAACAAACAAACAAACAAACAAAAACCCCAAAAGAAAACATTATGCTTCTTAAGGACATGCATTACAGAACATTGGTTTAAAGAAAAGATGCATAATTTCGGTTAAAGGATATCTTTTCCAAATAAAATGACTCTATCACAATGTGCTTTTTCATACATTACATTATTTTAACCATGTATCCATTTACTAAAAGATTATGTAGAAATATATTTGAAAGGAGGTAAAATAAAACAAAATAAGACAGGCAGAATTTTTTCCTACATCCTTCTAGCTCTCTCTCCTC